AAGCGCTGGCCAATAGCAGCTCAGCTAGCGCGTCAAAAGGGCGGGGCTAGAGGTTTAAACCAATCAGATTATCGCTCTCGGTAGGCGGGACAACCATCTCCTTGGGAACGAGGGAAGGGTGAAATAGAGGCAGAACCGAAGCGTCAAAGGAAAGACTCCGAGGGAAAATTGGATAGCCAATAGGAGATGAGCTGCCGCCTCAAAGGGGCGGGGCGAGCGGGGACGGCCAATGAGCGGCCTTGACGTCACAGCCGAAAGGAGGGCGGAGCCGGAGAGGGAGAGAGAGAGGCGGAGCGCATGCGCGGGGTGAGAGGTACGGAAGCCCGGCCAGGCTCGGTGGGGTCCTCGGGATGGGCTGAAAAGGGGGAAAGGAAGGAAGGGGAAGAGGAGCACGCCGCGCCCGAGGCGGGGGTCGCGCAAAGGCCCGGCGCCGGTGAGGAATGCATGCACAGCAAGGGAAAGCGGGGAGAGGCCTAGTTGGGCCTAGTCAGGCTTCGCTACGGCGAGGGCCCAACTAGGCCTCGTTGCCATGGAGACGGGGGGCTAGGGAGGAGGCGGCAGGAAGGCAGGCCTAACAAAGGCCAGGCCAGGCTCTGGGTAGCGATGGGGTTTGGCAGGCTGCTCCATTTGCAGGGTTCCCACCCAGGAGAGAGGGCACCCATGGCTGCTAGGGTTCAATTTAGTCTCATTCATATTACTCTGAATGGATTTTGTTATTTCAAGGGATATTATGACAGTAATCCGTATTACAACGAGTAATGAATAAGCACAATGTGTTATATATATTCCATAATATCATTTACTACATATATATATATATATATATATATATTCTATTACTACATATATATATATATTCTATTGTTATGATGTCATTGTGTGTGTGTGTGTGTGTGTATATATATATATATATATAATATCAAGCAATAAATAAATGTTATATATATTCCATAATATCATTTACTACATATATATATATATATACATATATTTTCTATTGTTATGATGTCATTGTATATATATATATATCATAGAATCAAAGAGTTGGAAGAGACCTCATGGGCCATCCAGTCCAACCCCATTCTGCCAAGAAGCAGGAATATTGCATTCAAATCACCCCTGACAGATGGCCATCCAGCCTCTGTTTAAAAGCTTCCAAAGAAGGAGCCTCCACCACACTCCGGGGCAGAGAGTTCCACTGCTGAACGGCTCTCACAGTCAGGAGGTTCTTCCTCGTGTTCAGGTGGAATCTCCTCTCTTGTAGTTTGAAGCCATTGTTCCGCGTTCTAGTCTCCAGGGAAGCAGAAAACAAGCTTGCTCCCTCCTCCCTGTGGCTTCCTCTCACATATTTATACATGGCTATCATATAATGTTATATCAAGCAATAAATAAATGTTATATATATTCCATAATATCATTTACTACATATATATATATTTTCTATTGTTATGATGTCATTGTATATATAATGTTATATCAAGCAATAAATAAATGTTATATATTTTCCATAATATCATTTACTACATATATATATATATATATATATATTCTATTGTTATGATGTCATTGTTATGATGTCATTGTGTGTGTGTGTGTGTGTGTATATATATATATATATATAATATCAAGCAATAAATAAATAAATGTTATATATATTCCATAATATCATTTACTACATATATATATATATGATATATATGCCTTGGACTGCGAGAAGATCCAACCAGTCCATCCTCCAGGAAATAAAGCCCAACTGCTCACTGGAGGGAAGGAGACTAGAGACAAAGTTGAAGTCCTTTGGCCACATCATGAGGAGACAGAAGTTAGAGAAGGGAATGATGCTGGAGAAAGTGGAAGGTAAAAGGAAGAGGGGCCGACCAAGGGCAAGATGGGATGGATGGCATCCTTGAAGTGACTGGATTGACCTTGAAGGAGCTGGGGGTGGTGACGGCCGACAGGGAGCTCTGGCATGGGCTGGTCCATGGGTCACGAAGAGTCGGAGACGACTGAACGAATGAACAACAAAATATATGATATTATGGAATATATATAACATTTATTTATTGCTTGATATTATATATATATATACACACACACAATGACTTCATAACAATAGAATATATATATATATATATATCAGTAGTAAATGATATGGAATATATATAACATTTATTTATTGCTTGATATAGGTTAGTAGCTGAAAAGCACGTGTTAAAAAGGTGCACTTAAAACCTGATTAGGAGCCCCCGGTGGTGCAGTGGGTTAAAGCACTGAGCTGCTGAGCTTGTTGATCGAAAGGTCACAGGTTCGATTCCGGGGAGCGGCGTGAGCTTCCGCTGTCAGCCCTAGTTTCTGCCAACCTAGCAGTTCGAAAACATGCAAATGTGAGTAGATCAATAGGTACCGCTCTGGCGGGAAGGTAACGGCGCTCCATGCAGTCATGCCGGCCACATGACCTTGGAGGTGTCTATGGACAACGCCGGCTCTTCGGCTTAGAAATGGAGATGAGCACCACACCCCAGAGTCAGACATGACTGGACTTAATGTCAGGGGAAAACCTTTACCTTTAAAATAATAATAATAAATAAATGTTATATATATTCCATATCATTATATATATATATATATATATATATATTCTATTGTTATGATGTCATTGTGTGTGTGTGTGTATATATATATATATATATATAATGTTATATCAAGCAATAAATAAATGTTATATATATTCCAAAAAATAATTTCTACATATATATATATATATATATATATTATGTTATATCATTTATTCCTGTATTGCGTATTATAACGAGCAATAATAAGCCACATATGTTATATATATTCAGTTACATCATTTACTACTGATGTATATATATTCTATTATTATAATGTCATTGCATATATATATTATGTTATATCATTTATCACTGTAATCTGTATTATAATGAATAATAATAAGCACCATATGTTATATATATTCCATTATATAATTTACTACTGATATATATATATATATATATATATGTATATATTCTATTACGTCATTTATTACATATATATATTCCATTATATAATTTACTACTGATATATATATATATTCTATTGTTATAATGTCATTACATATATATATATATATATATATATAATGTTATATCATTTATTACTGTAATCTGTATTATAACGAGCAATAATAAGCAGCAAATGTTATATATATTCCATTATATCCTTTACTACTATCTTCTATTGTTATAATGTCATTACATATATATATATATATTATGTTATATCAGTTATTACTGTAATGCGTATTATAACGAGTAATAAATAAGCACAATGTGTTATATATATATTCCATAATATCATTTTCTACTGATATATATATATATATATATTCTATTGTTATAATGTCATTACATATATATATTATGTGATTATATCATTTAATACTGTAATGAGTATTAGAAGCAATAATAAGACCCACATATGTTAGATATATTCCATTATATCATTTACTACTGATATATATATATATATATATATATATATATATATATATATATATAATGTCATTTATTACACACATATATATATAATGTTATTATATCATTTATTACTGTAATGCATATTATAACGAGTAATAATAAGCCACATATGTTAGATATATTCCATTATATCATTTACTACTGATATATATATATATATATATATATATATTCTATTATGTCATTTATTACATATATATATATATATATAATATTATACCATTTATTACTGTAATGCATATTATAACGAGCAATAATAAGCAACATATGTTATATATGTTCCATTATATCATTTACTGATATATGTATATATAATGTTATATCATTTATTACTGTAAAGTGTATTATAACGAGCAATAATAAGCAACAAATTCATTATTATAATGTCATTATAGTAACCCTCTGGTGGTGCAGTGGGTTAAACTGCTGGGCTGCTGAACTTGTTGTCTGAAAAGTTGGTGGTTTGAATTTGGGGAGCAAGGTGAGCTCCCACTGTTAGCCCCAGCTTCTGCCAACCTAGCAGTTTGAAAACACGCAAATGTGAGTAGATCAATAGGTGCCGCTTTTGGGGGAAGGTGGCAATGCTCCATGCAGTCATGCCAATGGCCGCATGACCTTGGAGGTGTCTTAATGTCTAGGGAAACCTTTGACCTTTACCTTATAATATCGTTTATTGCAGTAATGTGCATTATAACGAGGAATAATAAGTATCATGTGTTATGTAAAGGTAAATAAGTCCAGTCGTGTCCAACTCCGGGGGCTGGTGCTCATCTCCATTTCTAAGCCGAAGAGCTGGCGTTGTCTGTAGACACCTCCAAGATCGTGTGACCGGCATGACTGCATGGAGCGCTGCTACCTTCCATTGCCATAGAGAAAAGTAACAAACTCATATCTTTTATTTTTTATTATAACATCATTATCATTATATACAGGGAGTCCCAAAAGTCACTATACAACAAACTCATATATTTTATTTTTATTTTAGCATAGTAATAATATCTAAATTACAATGTCTAAATTACAATATAGGATAAATAAACCCAATTTTCTTAGTTTCCAACGGACCTCAAAACCTCTGAGGATTCTTGCCATAGATGCAGGCAAAACGTCAGGAGAGAATGCCTCGAGAACATGGCCATATAGCCCAAAAAAATCTACAACAACCCAGTGATTCCAGCCATGAAACCCTAACAATAAACAATAAATTAGCAAGCTTGTTTTACAAGTGCTAAGTAGGATCCATCTGTTAGCATGTGAGTAACCATGAAAATAGCATAGTCAATTAGTTAGGGCATCTGCCTAAAAGTAGCCTGGTCTTTGTTTGGATCCCATTCAATATTTGCAAATCAAGATTACTAATTAGATGTTTGACCAGGTCAGACATCTCCAGTGGATTGACACCTTTCATACACCAAGCTGTATGTAAGCACATGTATGCATTATGGTTGCCAAAGTGAA